CCATGCTGGAGTTGAAGTCCACTCATCTTAAAGTGGCCAAGTTTGGACAACACTGGATTAGGACATCATGATCAGAGCTCAGCTGCCAACTTGATCTACCAAAAGCTCATCGTTGAGGGTTATGAAAAGCTTGCCGTCCAGGCATTCAGGGGACTTTCCTCTTGTCAACTACTGCAAGCTGTGCTTCAAATGGGATTATCAGAGGATTCAGAGGATATAATTTCCAAGCAGCCTGAAGTCCTAGTCAAATTTCTGAAGAGAAATTTAACTGCAGCTTGACCTTGTTAGCGTGGAAGGAACTACAGCTCTGTGGTGAGAACGTCCCCGAATGAATTTCTGGCACTTCTAATCGAAAAAGATCAGACAGAGGAAGACGGGAAAGCCTCTTTTGGGGAACCTTGGAAAGAGGCCATGATTAGAGCAACAACACTAGATTGTCCCCAAGATGGCAACATTCCCCAGACCTTGGCTGATGGCCCTCAATTAAAACAGAGTGAAACCTGGTTAGTACATAGATGGAAGACTAATTATGATGATTATATATTCAATTTATATGCCGCCCGACTCCCAGCGACTGTAGCCCAGGACTGTAGGCTAGACTGGAAAGGTGGAAGCACATTTTGAGGAAGGCAGGGGCCAACCCCGTCTGTATTTATTTATTTAATATATTTATGTATTGTTGCCAAGAAAATATATTCCAGGTAGTCCCCAGGAACAGGGCTTGGTCAGGGGGACCAAGAGCACGAGCCAGGACCCAGCAGCTTTGGGCACGTCAGCAGCAAAGGCTGCATTCCCACAACAGAATGACCCCCATCATAACCGAATGGGTTGTGTGAACGCAGAAAACTGCCATAAGGGAGTAAACTGCCCTGGCTCAGTTAAACAAGGAGGTGCTGTCCTGCAAATAACGCCCCAATACCCGCCACAACCGCACAGTTCATAACAAAGCCTTCCAAAAATATACACAAACATAAATAAACTCCATTCAACACACACGCACGTGGCTCTCTCCGTCCGTGAGGCTTCTGGCGTGTTGGAACTACAACTCCCAGAGTTCCCGGCCCACCTGAGAGGGAAAGCTAGCCTGGGCAGAAGGAAGTCACTGCAGTTGACTGACAGGTAAACGGATACAAAGTAGCCACCTAAATACTGACCTCATCAAAGCCGTGGCAGGCGGGGGGTGCGAGGAGTCTCCTTCTGTCTCTGCAGGCAGGATGGAACAGGGAAAAAAAAAAGGTAAAACGTGTTGCTGCAAAAGGACTGCGGAGGCTCAGGCAGTATGTAATTGGCTAGCCGCCCTGCCCATCAATGCAAACGCAATGCTTGGACCGGTCGCGTGCTCGAGTGGCTGTTGCGCGGTCCAATTGGAAAAGGGATCTGAACGCTCCACCCGAAAGGGGGGGCCGGGCCGGGCAGGAGGAGCAGGCTGCGGATTGGAT